AATTTGAAAATGTCCGTAAACAGCTCAAAACGAGTCAAAATATTTTGAAGATTGCATTAAATATAGGAAATTATAAAACAAATACTTTTTGTGAATTTCAAGTACTTACAGTTATTCATTTTTTAAATACAACAAAATAAGAAAAGAGATAGAATATTTTAGAAAATTTTCAAGAGCATGTATTTTTGATATGTAATATCTTAGATTTAAACTTTAAGCAATATAATTTCATAAATATATATGTATATATGGTGTACATTATATATATACATACATGTATATATGTACATCAGGCAAATAATGATCTTAATAATACATCTAGGTATTCGATTTTTAAACCAAATTCATAATTAAAAAAATATTTATATTAAAATTATATACTTAACATTTTTACATGAGGAAATAAAATGACCTATATGTTTAAATATGAAATTAATATAAAGAAATTGTATTTCTTTGACAATAGAAGTATGGCATATCTAGTGAAACGTAGCAACAATCACTAAACCTACCATAGGCGCAATGGCTCATAGAGAATACAATAGTTTCCCCAATGGTCATTAATAAGCTGCTTTTATTTTTTTAAGTTTTTTCTAATTATTGTTTAATGTGTATTTAAATCACTCATAAATAATGTTTTTTAATGAATAAATACAAAATAAAAAAAGACGACCATCTTGAGAGCATTTTAATCTTTGGATGTAATTTACCTACTAATTATAATTTTTGGACGAAACTGTATAATATGCCTGTGTGTATGCTACTGTACCTACTAGTATCATATATGTTGTTGATTATTACATAATAATACCTATAACCTAGTGTTTTTAATAATTTGTTTGGGTTCAATCACTAGATGGCCTCCTTCCTCATATTATGCATGTAAATGAAACTTCTGTAATATCATCTGTAATAGCATTTTCCTATTATGCATGTAGCAAAGATTGTTAATTTTTTAATAAAAAAATAATTAAAAAAAATTTGTGAATAATATTAAATCTTTTTTATGTGATATATTGCGGTAATTATATTATGTGATTATTATATCAAGAATATAGATTATTTGTTTGATGTTCAGAAAATAATTCAATACTACTTAAATTTTAATGAAGAATAAAAATATTAAATCGGCCATAAAATGTTGGAACGAAAGCTGAGTTGAATGCTTGTATTATTATTCATGACAACCTAACCGATAACATTTAAGCATACTTATAAACATATTATTTGTTAAGTTAAATTATATTAAGTTCCTGTACTCAAATTATATATGTCAGACACTTCTTTTAAATTATGGAAGGTATTTATTGAAAATTGATTATAATGATTTAATAGGTATGATAAAACGCTTTCATTTTTCAAAAACAACCAATTTTGTAAAGAAAGATTACTAGGATACATCATGTCTAGTATTGTGCTAAACAGTTCCCACCCGTTCCCGGTTTCAAAAGGAAAAAAAAAAAAAAGGATACATCATGTCTGTTTCCTCGGCTTCCTACAATCAATTACAGCGAACAATAAAACAGTCAAATTTTTTATTTACAGTGTTGTATGAATATAATTTTTTTTGAGTATTCAAGTAATATTTAATATAGTGTTAAAATTAATATTTAAAATATTACAAAAAAGATTTTTATCTGATGTATTTAAAATTTAAAATTTAAATATTAATTACTATTTCTTGTTGTCGGTTGACAATTAGTAGGTGCCTAAATTGTATTAATTCATAAATGAGGGTTTTTTTTAAATACAAATTTTAAACATCTGTAAAGCTTTGTTAGAGTGTTTTGACGGCTAAATTTAATTAATTACAAAATATTAATTAAGAAGAATGAACTATTGTAGTACTACAAATATAGTAGTTATACCTTATTATTTAATAACAAATAATATTATTTTATATTTATAAGCCAATAATTGGTATGTAGTAGATGAATACATTTCATAAACGCTATGTGTTCAAAATTAGTATGAGTCATATGAGCAGCGAAATTTTATGAAAAAAAAAAAAAATGGTAATAATTTACTTTAAGTAGAAAGAAAAGTATCTGTAAAATGTATTTAATACCCACAATAAAATAGTATTTAAAATGCATTAAGATTCCTGTTGATATATAGTTAGGTTAGGTTGAGAAAGCTTATTCTATGCACTTGTTAAATTCCCAGTTTCTAAACGCATTTGAATGCAGCATAATAAATTGTAATTTGTAATTTCATCTTATAACATTTAAAAATAATTAATTGGTAATCTTCATATTTTGGTGTCATTTTTTAAATATTAGCTTCTATAAACGTGTAGTAAATACGCTTTTTTTTTTTTATTCTGGATAGAGTTTACTTTGAATAAAACTGCGGTTATAAAATACCTATATTAAAAACATCTTTTTTAATATTAATTAGAACATAAATATCCAGTCTTAAGTTCAGTTATATTACACACAAAGGTGAAACTGATCCTCGTTGAAATACTATCTGGCTATGTAAATCATTGTTATTATTATAAATCATTAAATAAAATAATCAATTTGATTGCCAAACCTGTTATCGATAACCAAAACGATGCTAACTAGTTCACACTAGGCATAAATCTCATTTTATTCTAATCACTTCAAATGTAACTCATATTGAGCAATTATTGCTGAATAATCGTTCACAACCGAGCGAGCACTCAGCACAGGGAATTCATAAAATATCAAGTTAAATTATAAATTATATGAGTATACAACTCAAGTATACTACTAAGTATATTTTTTGCTATAATTGCTATTAAAGTAATTTTTTGTACTTTTAGAAAAACATAAGGTTGGATTAATTTTTGGTAAACACATTTTATTTGATTCTAAGAGTCTAAAGTACCGAAGAACAATATTTTTAAATTACAACAAAATATATGAAATTGTTATTCTAGATGTTAATATGTAATATCGTACATTGTTATGCCTGACGCTTTTAAAAACTATTGGGAAATTTAATTTAGACCCCACAAAGCACACACTAGATTCACTTTCCCACCAAAAGACCGAAAAAATTGAAGCATATTTACCATTCTATAAGGTGATAACAGAGGACACAAAAAAACCACACATCATTGTTATGTCAATATATACATTGTTCCGCTTAGAATCTAATATATTTACTATGTACCATAGATATTTTTAATTTTATACTGTACAATATACATAAAAATTGAATGTATTAAAAAAATATTCTTTTCTTCTATTATTGTAAGTAGAAAAAATATAATAAATTGTTTATAAACTTTTAAATTCTAAATGAAGTAGATTCCTAACATGTGTGTAACTCATCGCTCCTAATTTTAAATCTTGTAAAGTAGTTTATCTTATAAACATAATATAGTAGGTCATTGTCTGTTAAATATTTTACTAAGTAATAAAATACATATTACAAAATGTAGTTAAAATGATTCGCATGAAAGTCCTACCATTTATTTTTTATATACCTGTGTTTATATTATGTATGCCTTATAGTGTATATTCACAGCAATATCAAATTTAAAACAAAACGAGGGTCCATCGAAGAATAAATACTATAAAAATTGTATATTTTCTTTAAATTTGAGATCAATTTAATATAAAAGTCTACTGTTACTAGGGCACTATAGCCTTAGGTATGCAACGCCGCCAATTTGTGACTCATTCATTGCCAATAATGTGTCGTAAAATAGTGGCATAGCATACTCATTATATAAAGAGCCTTGCAGTTTCTAGTAAAGCTACGAAGTAAAAAACAAAATGGCCGCTGCATGACGCGCAGCATGATCTGCGCATATTAGACTAGAATACGAGGTAATATTTGCATTTCGTAATTTCGTTTATATCTTTTAAGTTAGGTATATAATGTTAACATCATAATAATTAATTTTCACTTTTAAGTTGATATTGCATTACAAATTAGGATACTATTTTCCTTAGATCAAATACTACGGATAAAGCTATTACATTGGAAATGTGTGCTGTACGTGTTGAAGACATTATTAATGACTAGTCGCAAGAGGTCTGACTTCTATTGCACTTGTGTGTTAGTACTTGTCATATATTTATATTATATATAACTTAAACAGAGGTGATATAAATTGCGCATGACAACGGTAGTACCAATCGTGCGCGTGAAAGTATGATTTAATTGCGCGCATGCGCATTTGCTAAATACCTCTTAGGTAGGTTTCAAATATTTAGGTGGTAGATATACTAGTTGCACAACTTTATGAAGTAAATGGACCCTCTTATAAATGCAACATCGTGAGAATGAAAAACTACTCAGCGCTACTTCTGTGATATTTTTGAAACATTAACTTAAGCAACCATAGGCTGCAGAACAGTAATGATTGTCGGGAAATTTGTACGCTCGTTTTGAAAGTTTAATATCAGTACAGTCGTTACAGGCCAGGTTTTCTTATAAAATAAAAAAACAATCGTAAAGTATCAACGCGTTAGATGAGTACTACATGATATTTCAGGGAAGTATTAATCTAATCTATAACGACAAATGAGAATGTCGATAATGATGAATTTTTATTTGATGTACCCAGATATAAATTACCTATACACTATATTGGTTTATTGACATAATAATATATTATCTTATCGCAGTCGCTGGCTAGTTGCTACGAAATTGGAAATAACACTAATGTTTCAATTATGTAGGCATAATTATTACCCACCGACATAAAATACCGTACCAATTCTCCGTTAACTTACAGTCATATTATGGTTAACCACTAGGGTTCACTGACATAATATTATAGTTTTGCGGGGATATTGAATGGTGCATGTCTCATAACCAAATATATGAGTTGCGTAACCAGTTAACAGTATATCCACAACAGCGGTAGTAGCTCTATTCGTTGTTCGTGATCTAAGGTTTTTCCAATATAATATAGTTTTCAGACCCCTGATATTTTGAAATCCTAACCGTCGCCAACGGCCAAAATGAACCGGACGAATAAAATAATCACAACCGTTATCGCGACGAGTACGTACCGATATGCCATGGTGCTGAACTGATGGCGACTGGTGGCTCCGGCGAATCGTACAATTTCTGAAACTCGCAGAAACGAATGGCCCAGGCACACGGGAACGGCAGCCGACGGGTGAACTCGAAATGATCGCCGCTCCGCGCTCGCAGTCTCGCGGCGTCGTCCTCAGTTACCAGCCCACGCCCCGCGGTACCGATCGATGGAGGGGAATTTCGTCGCCGTCGACGGCGCGGCGGTTGCAGAGAGCGCTTCCGTTCGGGCAGCATAAATGTCTACGCGTCGGTTACCACCGCCCGCCGTGACGTCATCGCGTCGACCTCCGCGATGAAAATATTATTTTGTGTTTCCGCGCGCGTTGCGCTAGGCAGTAGGAGCGGCTATAGCGGCGGCGGCGGCGGCGGCGGTCTCTACACGATCGTTACCGAATACCGACACACTGTTGCCGCCCTGCCGCCGTCGTCGCTGTTGCCGTTCCGCCGCCGCCGCCACTGTTGCCGTCGCCGCGATCGTCGCGTCAGTAACCTTACGACGATTGCCGCGCAGCACTAGGCGACATGTATAATGAACATGGTAGTATTATTACAGCGACGCATTATTCGATTCGGTCGGTGGAGCGCTGCGCATGCGCGCTTTAAACGATTTTAGCGTTTGATGCTTATACTCTTAACAGGCACTGCCACCATGATTATGAAGGACAGGGTTTTCTAGGTTATCTTCGCTGTCGTGTTTTTTGAGGCAAGTCGCAAAATACTTAATTCTACAATGACGATTCGGTGCCTAAATAATGTATTGTATCACGAACCAATGAAAAACATGGTAGGCGTTGAATTAAAAGGCCATACGATAGGTTTAAAAAAAAGGTTTTTATTTTGTTAACAATATATGGTGTTTCATATACGGTCGACTGTAGAATCTACACTGTTTGTTAGGTGAATCGCAGCGTTATGCGGATAAATGTCAACTTTGGCCTTTTAACCCAAGGCCCACGATATTTTCATCTGATAAATTATCGTTAAGTGATTTTGTTGGTTGTCGTATCATTTCGATGTTTGTATCACGTCAGCTTTAGATTATATGCTTGGTTGAGTAACGAACCTTGTTAAAGCGGTATCCAATGTTCTCATAAAATTGAACCAAAACCTGCCAATTGTTTTAATGACTTTCAACGAAACCTATGGTGTACAAGTATACCCTTGATTTCTGTGCTTTATTATTAAAGTAAAACCACAGATTCCACTGGAAGCGCAAACAGCGATACCTAAGGCTTCTGGATTTTGTCCTATTTTACACCTTTTTTGTGTAAGGCTAGATAATTTATTAATGGATAATAGACCAAGATAATTTTTAACAAAATAATGAACATTTTGATATTTTGAGGTTTCAAAGGGTCTTAACTATATAACAAATGCAATTAATGATAAAAACAATTGTTGGAGTGAGTACAGGAGTGTGTATCTAAAAGCACTCTGTGTCTCTCATCCACATTCCGGACCGCGACTCCTTATTTTGTGAATATAAGTGGCCTAGAAATTCTTATATTATCATTGGCTATTATAGATCACTCAATCACTCAATCACTCAATCATTTTAATTGGGTACATAATTGTATAGCCTGATAGCAAGCTGTCGGACTTAATATACAAGTAAGCCTCCATATTTTGCAGTGACTCATGGCAAAATAAAACAAATTGATCATGGAAAAATATAATTTGTTGAGCAATGAATGACCACTGAATAACTTTATAGAATATAGTTATGACTTTCATACTATTGATTAATGTAAAAGCAATGTCCGGAAGGAATGAGTTTCAAAAGGAGCGTATTCCTGGAACGAATTTCTTTTTATAAAATAAGAACGAGTTCATTTTTTCAAGGAAGATGAACAAAATTGTTCGTTCCTTTCTAGTTCCAATCTACGCAGATATGTAAATAATTTAATTTGAAGGACATTTTTTTTATTATCAAAATTTTCAAGAAGAAAAATTCGATACGTATCGATACGGAATAGTTACGTACCACCTCGTATCGGAGTCCGAGTCCGATACGGGTCGGTACGTATCGCTTGTACATTGCACGAGTAACATCTTGAACGCACAAAATTGACCCGATAAGTACCGATACACTCCAAATTCTTTCTTGAAAATCTTGTATGTGTATAGCCAATAGGTGATCGTTATCGAGTATCGACGTTAATCGTTACAATTTATATTAATTACTCATTGCTTATTATCTACTTTATTAATATTTCTAATAAGTAAACCTAATTAGTTTATGAAAATGGTTACTACTTTATAGAAATCGTTGTTAGAAACCAAACAACTGTCTAAAGTATAGTTAAAATTAGTTTATAAAATAATAGTAATTCGATCAAATAGGTAATAACTAATAAGTAATTACAATAAAATTAATAATCGTTAACACAAAATATAAATTCTTATATGAAATGTTACAAAATCAAATTTTTTGTCAATATCTTTAAATGTGCAAATCGTATAATGTTGTTTTTTTATTTTATAACTAGGTATTTTTTTAAAACAATTTTGTAAAAATTGTTGACCTTAAATAAATATACGTTAATAATTTTATTAGTAATTAATATTCTAAATTAGATTTTATCTATTATTCATAAGTATCAACTTCATTAAAGCACTTGCATATGAATAGCAAATTATTAAATGAACATTACAGTAAGAAATATTTTTATAAGACATAATATATTATTTATTATTTATTAAATACCTACTAACCTACTTATTATAATTCGAAAAGAAATAATAACTATGAATTTTTCAGTTAGAGAAATTATAAAATTAAGTATAGTTTTAAGAAATTAGTTTGATTTGTTGTTGATGAGAGGTTTTAAGTTGTATAAAAAAAAATGTTAATAATAAAACTGTTAAACATAATTATTTTTTGGTACTTATTTTACTACTAAGATAGACTAATATTATTTTGTTTAAAAATGTTATAAACACCACAGTTGACACTGTATATATGTGTAAATAATATTGACATTGAGTATATACTGTACAACATAATATATTATACTCAATGATATTATATAATTTTTAACGAAATATACATAGGTAGTTACAATACATTTTAGTGACATTTTTTTTTACAAATAGCTATTAATAATATTTAATTCCTCAATATCAAATGCATTCAATCATTGCCGTCAAAAACATTTTATAAACTGTGGCATTTTGTTTAGTGTTTTAAAAAGTTATAACTTTTAGTTAGTTATTATAATAACACAAAATATATATTTTGAGGTATCTAGCAATTCTTGAAAAAATTACCCATAGTTTGTTACTTAATCACTAATGATTTTCAACTGTTTACTTAATAATTTGTTATCACTTATCATAATTATAAAATAGTCGAAAAGCTGAAATATGAGTGCTGTCTGCGAATTTACTTTTGACAAGGTTAGGTTAGGAATATTGCGACACGTACATTCATCGCTTCGCTCACAATCTAAAAATGTATCTGTCAAGTTTGACTTAGAAGATATAATAAAACAATTTGCAATTATGAAAGCAAGAAAAATATTAAATTCACAGAGGTAACATCACGTTAGTATTTTATTTATACTGTATTGATGTTGATTGAGCTTCTAGTCTCACTAATTCGTATTTCAATATTAATTGTATTAAAATATTTAATTTTTAATTTTATAGTAGGTACCTACTTCAACAAAGTATTTTAAATACTTTTTGAAGTATCTGTATTTAAAATCAAATACCAATTTTTTAAATACTGTAATAACTAGGTAATTATTTTTAGTTTAGGTATAAGTTTTCTATTTTAATTTTGATCATGTAAAATACAAATAAAAATGAAAAATATAGATGTGATTTACCAAGCCAAGCATACTCGCCCCCTTTTTTCTTTAATAATGCAGTTATCCAAGATCTAATTTTTGGATTTTTAAGTATACTAAAAGACTATTTAGAAATTCTAAAGATTTTTTGTTCTATTTATGAAGTGCCCTGTAAAGATTCAAACTTATATTTTCAAGTGAGAACATCCCTTTTCAACTGTAAATTATTCACTGGATAATTTTTCTGAAAAAATTGATGTATCAGAATCAAAATACTTATTAGTAGATATTAAGTTATTTAACTTTGAGTTCTAAGGATAAATAAGGTCCATGGTAATGAGTTAATAAGATATGGGGGGGGGGGGCTATCGTGTATTACATTTTTAGCCAATAATATTTGTTATTAAACATTAATAATTTGTAAGATTGGCCCAAAAAATTAAAAATATTACAGCTGCAGACTTTTGGTAATCCTGCAGTTCGGTAAACCGGTACGTCCAGTAATCCGTCTATTTTTTCGCTATAAGTATCATACAATTCTTAAAACCAATTGATTTAAGTCTAAATGAACCGATTAGTTATTTTATTTTCATTTAGTTAACATTCATGTGTGTATGGTTTACTGGTAAGTTACTGTGTTGTATTAAATTAAAATCTCTCCAGTATTTAGGTTTTGAAATAAATAAAAATGCGTTTTTTATAAAACTCCAATAATCTACTGTTTTTGTTAATAGAGCAGTCGTCTAGTCTAATATCTGCCGGATTATCGAGATTCTGCTGTGGTTTCAATAATACTTCTATGTTATATTTTTGTAATAAAACCATTTTTAAGAACTATAATCTTTAGTACAAAAATTGTATTAACTAAGAAACAACTCATTCGAATTTTGAGTTGGTTTCATCACCATTTCGAAAAATTATCCACTAAACTTACGGTAAAAAAAAAATGGATCTCATTTGAAAAACAGACGTTTGTTCTATCACAGAAAACTTCTTTAGTAGTAAAAAAATTATTAATAAGTTTGAAAAAATTTTCTTTGAGTATCTTTAAAAATTTAAAATCAAAATTTAACTAAATTCATTTTTATGGTTGTGAGAGCTCTTTAGTATATAGAATTATATTTTTTTACTAAGATTTTTAAATTAATTATTCTTAACCAAAAATCAAATATTTTGACAAAGGAAACAGTTGATTATCATTAAGTACTGGCATATGATGCAGTATAAAATATATGCTATATAAGATTAACGTAAGACATGAACATTGCTTCTGTTAATAATGTGAAAACAATGTTTATAAAAAAATTTGGAGTTCTTGAAAGCAT